TGGGACAAAACTTGGACAAAACTGTGACAAAACTTGGACAAAACCATGACAAAACTGGGACAAAACTGGGACAAAATTGGTACAAAACTGGGACAAAACTGGGACAAAACTGGGACAAAACTTGGACAAAACTGTGACAAAACTGGGACAAAACTTGGACAAAACTGTGACAAAACTGGGACAAAACTTGGACAAAACCATGACAAAACTGGGACAAAATTAGGACAAAATTAATACAAAACTGTGAAAAAAATTGAAAAAACTTGGACAAAACAGACAAAATCTGGACAAAACCATGACAAAACTAGGAAAAAATTGGGACAATATCGTGACTGAACTGGGACAAATCTACAACAAAACTGGTGCAAAACTGGGACTAAACTATGACCACTGTTCCTAACTGAACACAGCAAACAGAACATGACGAACAATATGTGAAACACTTTAATTAATTACAGCTCTGTTTAATTTAGTTCAGTTCAACAATACTTTATTAATCCCAAAGGGAAATTAGATAATAATTAAATCAGATAGTTGTTTATAAAATAATTGATAAAAAGAAAATGTTTCAAAGCAGAAGCAACAAAAAGTGAATCACATCAGATTTCTTTTCAGCTTTAGAAAGAAGTGAACATTTAGAGTGAAATCCAGAAGGAAGTGACAGCTTCAAGTGGAGGAGGAGAGGAAGAGGAGGGAGGTTCAGACATCTTCCTCCTCCTCCTCCTCCTCCTCCTCCTCCTGGCCAGCTGAACGTTTACCAACTGATGCTCATAAAAAGCTGGACCTGAAACGGCCGACACCTGCTTCCTCCTGCTCTCTATAACCCCTCTTCTTCCTCTTCTTCCTCTTCATCCTCTTCATCCTCGCTCCTCCTGTCGCTGCGCCTCCTTCCTGACATCTGTCCGTTCTCTCAGAGATGTGTGGACAGACTCTGGCTTCCTCTGCTCCTCTTTATGAGGAAGAGTGGATCATTTCCTAACAGGAACACACACACACACACACACACACACACACACACACACACACAC